ATTTTTTGTTATATCGATACTGCATTATACTTTGTAAAATATTAAATACGTATAATAACCTTATAACTAACTTTGTACCTTCCAAAATGCATCTTAACTATGACTATGCTTTAGTAAACTTTGAAGTAGATTTTTCACATTTAGATGATTGCTATGCATTTACTCAATTTCTTGCTGAATTTAATAATATGAACCTTGATGGATCAGAAAGAGATATTGAAATTAACAATATTTTAAGAGAAATCCGAGAAATATTAAAGGAACTTGCTAAAACTGAAGATGATAAAGAAGTAAAATATTGGTTAGCGTATTATTTATGGTATGGAATTGGAGTTGAAAAGTTAAGAAAACAAGATCAGAAGGTTGCTATTGAGCTACTTGAAGGTTTAGTTAAAGAAGGATATTTAAAAGCACGTATTTTCTTGAAGAGAATCCACAATATACTGGCTGTTAGTAAATTGTAATGTTTCTACTAGAAAACTAATGCAGTACACGGGGTTGAGACAATTTCGGATCAAAATTGAGGTTTTAAAACATGTTGGGCTCAAAATTTTATTAAGATAACTTTTCAGTTCTTATTTACATATTTTTATTTTTATTTAAGTCTCTGTAGTTCATAAAAGTTAATGTATATGTCCTTGTAACTATTGAAGCTATATGTTAATAAAAACCAGAGGCATGATCTCACCTTAATATGTAAAAAAAAATCTAATAGTGACTGATTCTGAATTTCAGATATATAAGCACTGTTAAAAACCCTAATTACTAAATTCATCAAGCAGTCTAAGTGCTGACTCAACAGAGTCATTATAATATTATAACCTGTTTTTGTTTGCAATAAATTTCTAGTAATACATTTGCTTATACAAATATTTTGAGATATCAAATTTTTTGTGTTGTAGATGATTTATCAATTTGGTTGTGGTAAGATGTGTGTGTATGCTTATCTTTTTCTTTAGTTCATCAAGTATTTTAGCAATAAAGTCCAGACATAGATGAAGAATCCATGGTATATATTCACTACAAGTACTATATCAACCTTTATAGTAATCTTATCTTCACAACCATAGCATGTATACTGTTTATGATTCAAGTCTTTATACACTTTGCTCTGTACCTTATTTAACTGATAACAAATATATATAAACATACCAACTATACTAAATTTTTTTGATAAGTCTACCTTTTTATAACTAAAATGATTTTATTAAATATTAAGAAAAAAATCAATATTAAAAAAAAAATCTAATATTAAAACTATATAATAAAATTAGCACTTACTTTTATAAATAATCATCATTGCTTTCAATGTTGATAATAACAAGCTGCTACTCTTTTTGTCATCATGTTTTGAATATCTACATTGATATGTACTAAAAAATTTGTCTGGTAAGTTTAGTAAATTATATCCTCTACTTCATCAGCTTCTGCATTATCTGTTAACTCTCAGATTTCATGCTCAACAAAATCTTCAACTTTGAAATATTTAATCTCAGCACATGTAATATTATCAACTTGCTCATCTTGGTCAACATCTGTGATCAAGTTTTTTTATTCTGTGTTTGACTCTCTTTCTTTTTTGTATAATTATCTCTATATATGATGCATGTATTGTGACATGCATTATCTTAAATAAATTGTTCTTTTAAATGATTAGTTTTTTTTTTTTTTTTTTCGGTGTTAAGGTGAGGTCTTGCCTCGTATCTTTATTAGATGTCAAGTTTTTGCCTTATATAGCTACATATAATCTTAAGAATACTGGCTTAGACAATTTTATCTATGACCTAAACCTACCAGAGTATGCTACGTTCCCACCACGTATTGGGTTATACCTGAATTTGATATTCAAACTATATCTAGTTACCCACCGCATTCACCCCATGACTCACCGTCAAGCCTTGGTAACTCCCAAATTGGTTCATTCGAGTAATCGGTCCCTAATGGCCTCCCAATTTGGTATGCCTGTTATTCGAGGTATTTCTAGACTGGTATACCCCTTCTAATAGGTGGCCTCTCGTCCACGTTTCTCAAGCCAGGTATCTGCTGCCGCCGCTAGTCCCACATGAGAAGCATTGGTATCACATATCAGAAAGGAAACTTATCATGGGTTTGCATAAATGATTAGTTTTACAGCTGCAGCAATAATTTATTTTGTAAAGTATATAATGAATGCTTGGTGTATGAATGAACTTAAGTATATAACCTCAAGGTTGATAGAAGAATCTAATCTTTGAAAAAATTTTTATTTGGTATTTCTCCCATTGCAATAGATATTTATACAAAATACTCAACAATACTTAATGAAAGAATATTAGTATGGGTAATTGTTTACAATGTATGAAAAATGAAAAATATTAATTACAATATTATTATGTAGGGGCAAGAACAATTATAATTAAATACAGGTCATTGATAATAATTTGCAATGCTTAATGAAGGATATTAAAGCATGGGTAATTGTCTGCAATGTTTGATGAAAAAACAATTAAAAAAATATTAATTACAATATTATTATGTTAGGGGCAAGAACAATTATGATTTGATTAATCAAAACTCGAGCTATTTAAAAAATACTGATAATTGTCATGGAGTTTCCTCTGTTTATAAAATAGACATTGTCTTCATACTAATATAAATATTTTAATGAATATATGGTTTTCTTTTATTTAAATTTAATTAATCATTTTTGTATAATTTTTATTGTGCTGTGAATTTGGTTAGGTTTACCAGCTACTTTAGTGTGGGTTGTTTAATACAATAATGGCTAGTTCAATCTAATTCATTCGAAATGAAGATTAACCATTTTATACAAACAAATACATAGTTACTAAACGTAATAAGTTGGTTTCGATCAAGCTAATTTTATTTGAATAAAAGCACTTATATAACAATTACAAAGTTGACCATTTCAAGTATAGCTATTTAATGATTGTTAGTAAATCTGAACAATTTATTTAAGCAATATGATACTATATATTTTAAAGTAAAATTTTGATCAATCATACAATAAATATCACTTGACTGTTCTACAATATACACTACTTTCGTTTAAAAAACTTGCATAATAAAATTCAACGAAATGGATGATCCAATTTTAAAGATGTGCAGTAATTTAATCGAAAATATTTATGATAGCATTGAGTTTAAAGATTATATGAAGTGTTTCTATATGAACAGTTAAACAATTGTATATGATACATGGTGAAACTAATTGTTATAGACAAAACCATTGAATATATGGAAGATTATAATGCTCATAACAAAGAATTTAATAGAATTAAACAGTTTGTTGAATTCTTTACTGAGCTCATTTATGAGTATGAATTACTCATGAAAATGAATTACATAATTTTGATTGCGTGAAGCCGATGATGATAAAGAAGAATATAAATTTTATGATTATCATTTTACTACCAAAGGCCTACATCAGCAAAATTTTTAAGCAGATATATATCGATATATAGCAGTTAATCGATATATATTGATTAACTGCTATATATCGATATATATCACTAACAATAAATAACGATTATTGATATATAACGATTATAATCACTATCGATTAATAACGATTTTATAAAATTTGACCAATTTT